CCTGGTAATTCATCAATGCCACTAGAGTTCTTAACGATATGGACTAGATGATATCAGGAAGTTCAGTTTCGTCTAAAGGATGAAGAAAAAAAGAGGTTGTTTTTATATCGTGATGATGTTCACCAGCAGGATCAGAATCATTGATTAGAGAATTTACAGAGTCAATGAAATGATCATTAAAGACTTGAGGAATAACAGGACCACCATGAACCCGAGTTCCATCATCAGTTTCAAAAGAATTCAGAAAACAATTGCTCATTTTGTATCTTCATTTGGAAACAACATCATCTCCCAACTCCTCCCAACATCACCAATAGAGGTCCCTTTTTATGTGTGAGCCGTGAGTGAGACTCGAACTTTCTTCCAAATTCTCTGTAGTCTTTCCAGTATTGCTGACCGTTTCGTAGCCATACATCACAACAGCAACTGACCAGGAAAAACAGTATCAATATTGAAGCCTGCAAAAAATCTGTACTAGTTCTCAAGTTCTCATATAAATTTAGCCTGTTATTCATTCACATTATAGATGTATATATTTTTGAAAATTTAAAAATTCAATCTTATTTTTCAAACATTTCAATTTTATAACAACTGGATTATAACCTTTTCTGAGAAGGAAACTTTTTAACTTGCTACTTCTACATCATTAAAAAAACTCCTTCCCTGAAAAGTTGAAGTAACAAAAAAGTGAAGGCGATGACATCCCCTCTTACAAATAATAATAACAATAATAATATGCTTTATTGCCTGAAGAACATTAGGTCTTATTGTTTCATTATATTGACAAAGCTGCAAATTTTCATTAGTCATCATAAACATAAACACACACACATATATACCGGGTGTCCCACATTTTATGTGACAGGCAATATCTGGTTTGTTGAAGGAGATACACAAAAATGTTTCATACAAAAGTTTTAGGAGTTCATGAGAGCTATATTTTGNGTATAATGGGGTCTATCACATAATAAGTCTTTTACTGATTTTCGAAATACACAGCTATATGAGTATATTGACATAGCTAATTATCATAAATTGAGTAAATACTTTTCAATGATTCTGCTAACCCCCTTGCAAGGAAGGGAATCGAAAGGGTTTTTATCGAACTAGAATCTCTGTCAGTGGAATTGGTCCAAACTCTACTCAAAAAAAGAGCCAAATAACTGAACCACGAAGAGATTTTTAGATTTTCGCAAAAAATCACCCAGAATAAGCCCATTCCAAGGCATGTATACATCCTTGGAAGTATGTTACCAAACAATTGTTAGCAGGGATGATGTACGTTGTTTAACTTAACCCGAACACAACAGGAGGTAGTTCGCCTATTTCATGAGAAATTTCCTAATTTACCGCCCTATCTCAAGCAAAAATTAGCAAAATAGAGAAGCAGTTACGCGAGTCACGTGGGGCTGATAAAAAAAGCAGCTGCCAATGCAATGAATAAAGAACTCAAATTATAAGTGATGCTTGAGTTTGAGGAAAACCCACATATATCGAGTAGACAATGTTAGCCATACATCGATATAAAAATATTAAAATAAAATGCATCCCTATAAAACGATACCTACTCAGGAGCTCATGGAAGACGATTTTGATAGAACTTATTTTTGTGAGCAAATGATGGACATGTTGGATGACAATATCATCCAATTAGAAGACGTTATGTTTTCTGATGAGAAAACATAACGTCGCTTAACGGTCATGCTAATCGGCAAAATTTCTGCTACTGGTCTACGAAAAATCTTGACTGGATGAAAGAAGAACACACGCAATACCCTCAAAAGATCAATGTTTGCACAGAGATTGGTCCCTTTTTCATTGATGGCATTGATGCATTGATGGCATTGATGGCATTGATGGCATTGATGGCGATAATTATTTGGTACTACTTCCAAGATTAGCAAATTTATATCCTGATCCAGGAAACCCACAAGCCCTAGTGAATATAATATGGTTTCAGCAGAATGGAGCACCACCACATTACCAAGTTAGTGTACGGCAATACCTCGATACAACATTCCCCAATTTTGGATCGATGGAATGGCCAGCGCGATCACCTGATCTTTCATCATTAGATTTCTTTTTATGAGGATATGAAAAAACAATGTGTACAGAAGTGAACCTTCGGATTTGAAAGACGAATAATGCTTGCGATTAGGTCGGTCACGCCTGGTATGTTGAATAATGTTAGAAGACAGTTTTATTTGAGATTAGGATGTTGCCAAGACGTTCGCGGTGACTATTTTGAACACCCACTTCGTTAACATTCATAGATCTTTTTCGTTATCTACATTTCATTACGTTTTGCAATAGTTTTTGAGAGTATTTTATCGAATTTCGGTAACCACATGATTATATATATAACACAAAAACCACAAAAACCTTTTACGAAAGCTGAATGACTATGGTATCCGTGGAAATACATACGATCTTTTGTCCAGTTATTTAAGAGATCGTGAACAGAGTATTCCCAGAACTGTAACCTATGGTGTTCCTCAAGGCACTGTACTGAGGCCACTTCGTTTCACTATCTATATGAATAGTCTGTTTTCTTTGAATACCACAGGTCGAACTGTCAGTTTCGCCGATGATACTGTCATTTTGTACACTTCTTCAACTTGGCAAAATATGAAGCAAACCGTTGAAGAGGATTTTCCAAAGAGTTTTAGATTTATCGCAAAAAATCACCCAGAATAAGCCCATTCCAAGGCATGTATACATCCTTGGAAGTATGTTACCAAACAATTGTTAGCAGGGATGATGTACGTTGTTGAACTTAACCCGAACACAACAGGAGGTAGTTCGCCTATTTCATGAGAAATTTCCTAATTTACCGCCCTATCTCAAGCAAAAATTAGCAAAATAGAGAAGCAGTTTCGCGAGTTAGTTTAGTCACGTGGGCCTGATAAAAAAAGCAGCTGCCAATGCAGCTGTGATGCTTGAGTTTGAGGAAAACCCACATATATCGAGTAGACAATGTTAGCCATACATCGATAATAAACATATTAAAATAAAATGCATCCCTATAAAACGATACCTACTCAGGAGCTCATGGAAGACGATTTTGATAGAAATTATTTTTGTGAGCAAATGATGGCCATGATATGTAGGTTTTTATGCCTGACGTTTCGTCTACTGCTGCGGTAGATATTTTTGAAGGCGATGTGATAACGGTTGCAATAATCCAGCTGGTGCTCTGGTTCTCAAAAAAGATACAAACATTTTTAAATAACTTTAGTGAAATTTGGTAATACAAGTAGTTTCACAAATTTTTATAATGATGGAACCGAAAAGGCCTCAGAAAAAAAGTACAAATAATTTTTAAAACACTTTAATGAAATTTGATGATACAAGTATGTTCACAAACTTTTTCAGTGATGGAACCAAAAAGTACTCAGGAAAAAAAGGACGGATACTCTTGAACGAATTTTTTTTAATATGAATCTCTGATTAAACTGACAGTTTCTTAGGATAGAAAGTGAAAATATTTTCCAAGTACTTCATTAAAAGACCGATCTCTTCGAAAGTAAATTTTTAGTTCAATTACTGTCAATATCTGAACAGTGGAGGAGGTGGATAATAGTAATGGGGTGGGTATAGGGGTTGGAATGGACTGTAAATTCCTGGTCCACCAAAAGTACCGAATCCGGTTTTTACAAAACCTCCGTAAGAACCGCCAATTTCGTGTATGCCATAACCTCCGTAGCCACCCAATTTCAACACATTCAGTCCTATAACGGGGGTTGGTTTAGCTTCACAGCTGAACCAAGCGACAATCAGTAATAGAAAGATCTGGAAAAATTATGAAAAGTGTATTACACCTTGAGTCCTGTTACGTAGATTCCGTAGATCAAAATATAATTTAGGGGTAATTCGAAAACATATAGTCCTTCGAAATATGCTAAAAACAGCACTATGTGTAACATGAATTTAAATAAATCTGTTCAGAACCTGAGGTACAGTCAAAAATTGAAGGAAAGGAAGAGAAACTAGAGGCTAAATCTGAATTAGTCGTGACAGCAGTTGCAGGTCAAGGAGCAATCAGAAAATTTCCTTCAAAATCAAAAGGGAGCAGTAGGAGTAGTCAAGCTTCAAGACTGAAGAAACTGAAAATAGAAACAGCAATAAAGAAGGAAACATTGGAAAACGAGCTTCTAGAGTTCGAATTAGCCTTGAAAGTATCAGAAATTGAAAAGAATAGTGATGGAAGTGAGTCAATGTCAATGCATCAGTCCCAAAAGCCTAACGTGAAAGATTGTATCGACGGTGGAACTCCACGGATAAACGGGCATGACGGTGAGGATAAGCATTCGATTTTAATGGTGAAAGAAAATGAATTGGTAGGAAATTTTCAGTCTATAAATAGTCAGGAGAAGTATTTCACCCCTTTCTCTTATAACAATATCGTTTTAGATGTTAAAAAATAGTAGTAATATATTGTTATACAATTACTTGGGAGGAGAATGTTATAGTGTTTATCATTGTTATCTAATTGCACCCTATGTATCGTTTTTCAGTTGACATTTTGTTAATGGCGATGAAGATTGATGGGGAAAAATAAGTTTATTGAAAAAAAATACAGTTCTTGAAAGACGTCCAACTTATCTAAAAGAACATAGCGTTGGTCGAGGATATCATACAAAATGAGTATGTTGTATTTTTGAGTGCGATTTTTGTTATCATTTTTTCCACTCCAAATAGTTTCGAGGTCAGTTTGTACAACTTTAGTGCTAATGATTCGATGAGTAAATAAATAATTTATATTAAAAATACCTACGACATCATGAAGTAACTTCGTTGAAAATCGTATCGATTTTTAACACGCTTTTATCAGCTTCAGCTGTATGTATGTATCTATGTATGTATGTTTGTTTGTTTGTAACTCTCNTTTCTTTCTTTGGAAGATCCCCACATTTTTTGAATCAAAATGAAGAAGTTTAAAGCCAAAACCAATTTTTCCTAAAAATTAATCTCTACTAAAAATGTACCATCTCAATGTGGGCCAATTTTGTTTTCACAATTTTGTTAAGTATTAGATTGTATTTGCCATAACGTTAAACTGAAAAAAATTGTAAAAAGTTTAGGAATGCAAAAGAAAACGATTCAATACTTGAAGTAAATGGTTTCAACAATTATTTATCATACTTAAACTACTCTTGAAAATACGGTATTATCAAACTTACCTTGAAAATCATCGATTTTTGTTGATACATCTTTGATGCGACTCAATAATGAACTGGTAAGTATGTTTCAGGAAAATAATAGTGATCTAAATTCGAAAGAGATTGTTCGATATGGAATCAGCCAAAAATTGCGTGCCACTGAAATAAGTATACTCCTCCTTTTAGTGTACAATCTGAAGGAAAAATCATTCGAAAAAAAAAGAGTCTATTTGAAGAAAAATGTCCAACTATTTGAATAAGAAATTTAATAATTTATATTAGATAGACTGAACATTTTTATATGTTTCAGAAATTATTATAAACATGATTTTACTGTTTAATTGAGCAACTGAGCTCTGTTGAATTTTTAAATCCGAGTGTACTTAATTTGAGTAATGGCAGCCCAGACATTTTTAGATAGCATTATTAATTAACACTACAATGGTTTGGTTATTAGCATTGATTGATCCTTGAAATATTTTGAAGGATCTTGAACTGGGCTGTCTTGAATTTCAAATGGTATTTGAATTTTTCACATAAATTTTGAGGTTATGTGAAAAAATTATGAATACAAAAGTTGTAGATCTTTTTATTACCTACAACTTTGCTACTCAACTTTTTTCAATAGGACTTGTAGTTTTGCCGGAAATCGAGATACACCATGTTTTACCCCCAACTCACCCCCTCCCGAACTCAATTTTTCCTTTCATTTCAATCATATTCCACTCCTTTTCTAATGGGTTTCGTCCTGCTACAAAAAAATTCAAACACT